CCAACTTCTGCAATTCTTACAGTTCCGTTATTCTCCAGGTGTTCCGCGTTAATGATGGGATCCATCAGCTAGGACTTCTCCTCCAAAGAAGCTGCACCAAGCTGCTAATGTCTGCCTAACGTTATTTAGATCTCATCCAGTCTTTCATGGTCACACACTCCTTCCTACGTCGACTCTACTTTGTCTCTATACCCTTTTTATGTATTTCATCTATTTTTATTTGATCTATTTTTTTCACTTTCTCGAACTGTCTTCACCTTCCGATTCGTCACCTGTCAGAACTTCCCTCTGCAATGTTAGCCTGAGGTGTGGAAGCGAGTCGCAAGTGATCTCAGATTGCGTCCCGCTGATATTGAAGGCGGATCAGCTGAAAGTTTGATTCGCCCCTGGCATGAAGTGCTCGCAGAGGACCCAGTTATGCCAACCTTGTCTCGAGAAAGGACCTTGAAATGGCATGAGAGGGTGAGAAGTAGGGGGTTCCAGTCTTAGTACGTACCTAGTGCGGTCAGCTTTTGTGGTGGACCGCACACAGTACGGTGAAATTAATGGCATCGTTGCCACAATACGCCTCCCCTAATCTGTAAGCTGTTACCCGAGCTAGTGGAACTGGGACACCGTTTTTCTGAAGAGCTCTAAATAAGCCTTCCTGTGGAAGCAAATTCTACAACGTCGAGAGTGTGAAAGAGCCCTTTACGGCCTTCATAACCCCCCTCATCTGTGGTCTTCTCAATGGGTGTATCTGAGGAGAACACTTCGATGATGGTCAGGAGGACCAGACAGTGCAGAAGAGCGGGCAATTTTAGCCTCCTTTTTTTGGGCCGGCTGAGTCCTCCTCAACATCCGCTCTTCATGCCTTCGTCCCGGCCAGGACTTCCGTCGTTCGTTGTAGACGTCAGCGCTGTGGTGCTCCTTCATACTTCACTTTATTCTGTCAAGTTCTTATTAGTTCTTCTTGGTTTTTGTTAACTCTGTACGCGCTATAGACAAATGTATCATGAACCAAAGGTTTTCACTTTACAGAACCTGATATTGCGCACCGAGAGCATAGATTGGTGTGTTGCGGTAGGACCCCACGGCGTCGCGCGCGGCAATTGCAGACAGCGTATGGTCACGATCGGCGCGCCCTCGTAATGGTTTTCTTACCGCGACAGTGCCATTTCGCTGACTTTTGCTACTTTTTCAACAGGACAGTTCGTCGTACATCGAAAATACGATAATAAGTACAGTCCTGTGAGAGTGAGTGCTGTCCTGTAAGGACTGAGACCGTCAAACGGTAAGGGGATCAGCGGATGAAGTAAATTAACTCGCAAACAGAATTCGTGCAGGTTTTTCTGCACCGTAATCGTTAATCACACTTTTTATGCGAATAAAACGAAATTTAACGGCTATGATAATCCAGGTCCTAACTGGGGAAGAGCGTGACTGGAAACTGAAGCGAACACAATCTGCAATAATTAGTAACACGGCGAGTTTATCGCGAGCTGCACTCTACTGCAAGCCAACGATGTTTGCAGAATGTCGCGCCCGCGACGTCGCATGGTCTCGAAGACCATCTTTCCGAGAATAGATCTTTCTGTAGAAAATATCGCTGTCGTGATTGTTATTGTAGGAGTGAGAGCTAGAGCTGCGTTGATTGTTCGAGAAAAATCCATTTTTTCAACCGTGCTGGAGTTTAGTTTGACTGTAGAAATTATAATGGGAACTTCGCTAAGAACTGTTTTTTCCAGAAAAGCCGACCGTTGAACATGGATGTGACTCTTCAAGCAGCAAATCGGTAAATGTTGAGCAGCAAAATGGCAGCGTTATTTTGGCTCCCAAAAAGGAACCCGCCTCAAGGACAGGCAAAGAGCGGGTAAGTTCTTTAAAAAGGAATAGACCTCTTTTGGCTGAGGCACGCATTCTGCTCTCATTCTGAATTGCACTGCTTTTTTGAATGAGATAAGGTTTATGTATTAACTTTCCGGGGGCATCCGATGTTCAACACAATACTTTACCCGGACAAGTCCAGCGTGCCGTCCTTGTCAGGAAGTCTAGCTTTGCATAGGGTGAACGGATTCGGGATGTGACTTCTGATCGGGGTAGGTGCCACTAGCCTTTTTACCACACGCGCGCGATTACTAGTCCTAGGTAGCGGGGTCTAGAAACGAGAATCTAAGTGGTGATCGGGCTTGCCAGCAGAGAAAAAAAGCAAGAGGTATCACTGATAAACCCCTATAGGGAATTGCCCTTTACACGTGAGTTTGTACGTTGGACAATTTCGCGAAAGGGATGAGACGATGAGACACTGAACTCATAGGCGAGAAGTCAGGCAAAGGGTTGGCGGAAGGGCAAATACCCATACCAACGGTATACGTGGTAAACTAGGTGCAACACCATGCAGCGATTGCAGGGAATATGTTGATGTTATTGGAGTTCGTCCCATGAATGGCGGTTGGGCTGAAGTCACGATTCTCTCTCTCTCTCTCTCTCTCTCTCTCTCTCTCTCT